ATGGGCTCTGCCCGTGTTCGCTGTCAGAACTAGCGAGACTTGGTGACTTCAGTGTAGTTGAGACAGGGCTCATTGAGCACGGAAGTTGTTTTATGCCAACGATCAAAGCTGCAGTGTCTAGCGGACACGCGAGCCTCGTTGAGGCAATAATCGATTGGAACTTTTAATGTTATTAATCTTAGTGGGGGAGAGTGTAACGGATTTACACGTACCCTGGTAACAGATGTGTCTCTCTCACAGATGGGCACACCCAAACAAGAACACGGTATGTGGCTATGTAGCCAGTAGTTATGCATGTAGTTAGATTTTGCAATGTATATTTAGGAAAATCTAAACAATTCAGATTAGGCGGCTTTGCCGCAGATAAAAAAAAAATAAAAATCAGTCTTGAAAATAAACTGAATTTTTTTAGCCTTGTTTAAGTTACTAACTACTCTTGGAGGTAGCGGATTGCGACCCGCTACATTCGTATTGGTTCTTGTAAAGAGCGAAAGGTCGGTGACTCAAATTACGCTTCCTCAAGCGCTAAGCTACGGCAGCCCCGCTGCACGATGCGTCAAGTACAACGAAAAGCACTTTGCGCTGGTTCGGAGGACAATATTCAATGAATTACTTCAAATTGACAGGCCCACAATTGTCTTTATGATGAAAACCGTGCTTTGTAGATAGCAGCGTAGAAGCAGATCTTGAAATTTTATATTGTTGATGGTAATTTTTGATGAAGATCTCGATAGCCAAATGTTGCGATAGCGACTGTGAACCTCGACTTCTAAATATAAAGGTCTTTATGGCTTGTTGGTGTACTACAAAATTATGCGCCTGTATACTCAGTTGAAAGTTGCTATGTATTATCTTACTACACGGCTATACCTACTCGGCCCTGACTAAGAATATGCTTCATTCCGCTAGGGTATTTTTTCTTGATTTTCATTCTTCATATTTCTTGTACGAGTCGCCGTCCCGAAGTCCTTATTGGCTGTTGTCGGTAATATTTTGCATGCAGCCGACATTTCTTG